ACCTTTCCACCAGGCAGGGATTCCAGCCGCCATTAATCAGAGCGGCGACAGCCCATGGATGTCAGTAAATATGTTTCCCTCACCGACTCTTTCTCGCACCACTTTTCTTTCCTACTTCCTCTTCTGATTTCATGATTGTTTCCTTCCCTTTTTTGGAGCTTATTGGTGACCTCTTTGTCAGAGGCGTCAAACATGGACCTCAGAGGCTTAAGATAAGCAGAGAGATGTTCAGGAAAGAGGGGTACAGGATCGCCTCAAGGTGGGAAATCAAACCCAACGTCAAACATTTACTTACAAGCAGCTTGCATTTTCCCATTTAACTCATTGGCTGCCAAAGACGTCTATAGACGTCTTTTATGTTTTTCAACGAGAGTGGCTGGGGGACGATCTGCTAAAGCTTGTCTGTAAATATCAGGCTTCTAGACAGAGTATGTACTAACAAATTGACCCTCTAGGTGGCAGTGCCACTTTTGATGGGAGATGAGCATAGACTGTAGGCAAATAAGAAAAAGGTAACGGTTCGCTATGAGGGAACATGTCGCCGGTGAGACGCAAGTTGAGGAATAAGGTAGAAACAATTTTTTTTTCCTGATGAAAGAAGAGACTCTACTCTTTCTTTTGGTGTGTAGCACAAACTATTCTGTGGCTCTTGAAAAATCAGTCAAAATGCTCAAAAAACTCTGGCAGTCATTGAGTTAAATGCACGTTTTGGGTCTCTCCTGCACTGAGCAGGTGTTGCTAAATGTTGAGATTAAAACATCTTCTGAGTCTGTGACAACTGCAGCCGGACGGGTGTTGGCCGGGGATGCATGTTGTGTGGACGCAGGCCATTTTGAGGAGGAGGGCGCCCACATACCTGCTGCCGTCCAGCTGAGACGCCGCCACCCGGGGCTGTGCAGTCAAGTTGGTGCTGACGGATGCTCCCCTCTCCACCAGGCTTTTCCGGGGAAAACCGTCCAGGCTGGAGCCAAAAGCAGCAAACGGAGATCCAGGAGAGGCCCGAGACGTGAGAGGTGGAGATGGGGAGATAAGGAGAGACACCGAGGGGGAGAAAATGCCACGAAACAAACGGTGACCTTTTGCAAAGATTGATTTGTTTACCAACAAATGTCCTCGCTGTCAACACCTGCTGCAGAGTGACCTTCAGGTGGAGACAGAGCTGGCGGCTCTCATCTGTTCATCTCCGCTCCCGCTCGCCAAGTCCCATCACTCCCCCTGACAGCAGCAGGCCTGTTCCAGCCTGCGAGCATGCACGTCCAACACGGGTTTAGGAAGCAAACGCTGTTAGGAACTCATTTGGAAAAGGATTCCCTTAAAAAATGGGAATGATAATCATCAAATATTCATTTATGTGTTTGGCCTCTAATCAATCGATTGACTTTCGAGTGAAAAAAATAATTGGGAGATGTTATTATTTTAGTTCTCATCAAAACAAACAAAAAAAATGAAAGAAGCAAATGAGAGAAACTATATAGATATAGATGAGTGTACCTAAAAGCATCAAATGAGCAGGAATGACACCTTATAAATCTGCAGGCAGTTACCAGACTGAGGTCTAAACTGTGTTTACTTTTTTCTTGTTAATACCAAATGTCCTAAAATGTCTGTGCTCAAAACGGAGAATTCAGTTTAGCTTTCTTAGGTCATTGAACTGAAAATGTAATTTTCTGCTAACTTCTACTGGTGGAAGTGTTGAGACACCGGAAGGTTACTGAATTATACAAATATTAAAAGATTTCCTCTGATTGATTAAACTAAATTTTAGCTGATTGAATGTCTTTTTAGAGATTCAAACAAAAAATGTTCAGTCAAATAGCAAAATACTGATCCAAACAGAAACTATCGAAGATCACGTTGATGTTGCTCTTTGGTGCCAACAGATGGCAGCATTGAGCTAAAATAATCACCAGAGAACATTTTACCTACCAAACAGGTTATTTTGGACTAATCATCAGAAAAGATAAGCTATGACCTGAGCAGATCATCAGTTCTAATAGTATTTATGGGGTAATACTATTACTTAGTCTAAATCTCAAAATAAATGTCAATCCAAGGCTAAAAGTGTATATTTATAGCTGCAGATAATAACACATTTAATAAATGCCTCATATGGTCATGATTTCCAGCCAAAAGCCGAAACTCCTCAATAAAGTAAAAGTATTTCTAACAGTCTTTCTATACCCACCAGAGGTATTTCCATGAGTGCCATTTAAAGCGAAGCAGAAATGTGTAACATTGCAGACTTTGACACGGTAACTTGCCATTTTTATCCCATAAGTACAAACTGCTGTCCAGCTAAACAGTGAGGGTCGATAACTGAAGCCTGTCTGGAGTGAGGCTCCGACAGGGGTCATGATTAGGCTGCGTTTGAGGCCTTCAGTTTTTAACAAAGAGTCGAAAGAATAAACAAGAAGCCGAGATAGATTCTAAAAAACTCAGATTTTTCGTTGCCTCCAGATTCCTGGGATTTCTTCTTCTCCCTCGAGGAGAAACCGGCCGACACTAAGAATCAGGCTTCACCTGACGGGCGCCACAACAAAGGCCGCCTTCACACCCAAAGCCAAGTCTTTCCTTTGAGACAGCAGAGGAGATAATAGCATGTTTGCTTTGCTTTACCCGTAATTACTGCTTCTGAGGCCCAAATTATCCACCACATAAGGGGGAAATACCCGAGGAAAGCCGGTATCTTGAAACTGAAGTGTCATCTCTTTCTTCATCTTTGGCTGGAATACCTAATCGTGAAAATAACCAGGAAACCTAAAGAGAAACACTTCCAGTTTGGGTTACCCAGCTTCATTCCTTCTTTTTATCAGGCCTGTCAGCCTCCAGTTTCACCACAAGTTATATATTTTATTTATAGACCAACAGTAATACACAAAAATATAAAGCATCACATCCATTGTTTTAGGCAGAGAAAAATAAAAGGTACAATTTTATACAAGAAATCTAAAAAGACCAATTCAAAGCAGAGGAGTTTAGATCACAACTAATGATTACAGAACAATTTAAACAATGAAAAGAAACATTATAAGCACTACAGCTTACAGAGAGTATAAAAATGACAAATCTGCTTTCAAAATATTCCCTACTGGGTAATCGCATAAACCGTGGGGTTAGAGATCCCATCAGATGCTGCGTTCGAGGGCGCGAGGAGCTCTACAGAGAGCCGACTTGTCTCAGATCGGTAGATGCTACTGTTTCTGAAACTGTCCCACGTGTCAGTCTGCGGGATTAAAACTATCAAATCTGCCAGCTGAGACCTTCCGCTTGAGTCCTTAACTTTTACCGATAAGCACCACTGGGCTGGCGTTACATTAAGATTTGGGTTCACGTAAATGCACACAGAACAAAAGCATTGTTCCTTCTCACCCTCTGGGTCTCCGTCTGGTGGCTGGTCCAGCTCCTCTGGAGCGGGCGGCTGCGGGGGAATGGGACCAAAGCCGAGACGTAGCTACATTTCTTTTTCAAAAAACAGCTTTTGCCGACATTAAGTTTGCTCTCCACTACATTTTGACCCCGTCTTTGTCTTCTTCTTCTGCTTCTAAAACCATCAACATTATAAAGGCTGACGGTCACGTTAAACACGTCTACTTTCTTTATGTACACAGACCTGAAAATACAAACGGAGACGTCTGATTTTGGGACTCTGCTGTTATGAACAGGCCAGCACTCATCCAGACATTTCCCTTTGTGAAGAGCTGTGCTTTGCACCAAACGGCCTCACCTTCCACCCAGACCTGCCATCAGTGTCATGAACGAAGCTGTCAAGTTGGTATGACTAAAAGTGAGTCCAATGTTTTTGGACAGCGGAGAGAATACAAAGAAAAATCAAAGCGTCTTGCTGCTTTCTTCATACTTCAAGCCCTTCTCCAGCATATTCATATCAAACACAATTATTCACAAAAGTGTGTCATTTAACTAAAAAGTTGCAGAGTAGCACAATTCGTCAAATGTTTTCAAGTTCTATGCGTGTGCACGGATGATATTCTACAACGAGCAGGCGTTTTGGCGAAGCTTCCTGAAATGACTGTAGGATGTGTTTCACATAAATCCGACCGGCCCTCCCACAGCTGAGAGCTAACGTGCTCTGTCCGTTTCGCTGGAACTCACTAAAAGAGTGCGTCACCCTCCTTATGGTGAATGTCACCTCCTGTCCGGTCTGTAGTCCGAATGTCTGAATCTCTGAGCAGTTTTCTGCTAACAAAGAGGGAAAAAGTCTGAGTGATCCTCTGTCGTTTGTGGTGGTTTGAAGCTTGAACCAGATGGAGGCTTTTGCAGGGTAAAGCAGCAGAAAATGCAGAGGGGGAAAGGGCCGGCTCCAGTCGTCATCAGCGGGCTGAAAAACATGACTTTTATCCACCTGTAAGGCTCCACCGATATGTGAGAGAAGCTATCAGGAAAACCTGAACAACGATTCCTGCTGGGCTTGCAGAATATTCACTATTAACACTTGAACCTTTCCATCACATGAACATCTTTCAGTCTTTCTCATTGGGCTACTTCTGTGAAAGTCTTTTATAACCAAATGTCATAATGAAAATGCCCAAATACAGTAACAAATTCAAGTGAGATGCTTTTAACTTACAATATGTTTTGGGACTAACGCATAAAAAATTAAATTAGTTCTTTAGATTCATTGTTTGATTTAAGACGTGTACAAAAAAAAATAGAAAATTCAAAACATGAGTTTCTTTTAAGTGAGGACAGAACAGAAGATCTCACCTGAAAAATGCCATAGTTACAGCCTCTCTGGGCCTTACATACGGATAAAAACTAACATCTTAATCATTCTGGACAGACACTGAGATCCATCTAACACGGTACTGCATTAATGCACTTGTCCCCTTTTGCGACAGACAACATGTAAATAAAAAAGTGCTACTGACAGCTGGCGGGGGGGGGGGCGGGGGGCGGGGGGGGGGGCGGCTCGTCGTGATTCAGTTCTGGTGTGGCTGTTCTCGTCTCTGAGCTTTAGGTCTCTGCAGGAGGACGGAGGGTCCCTACGAGACGCTGGAGCAGCGGATGCTGGGCGAGCCCATCTGGGTGAGCACCTTGTCCAGCCACTGCAGCGGGCCGTTGAGGTGCAGCTCGATCCAGCAGGGGGTGCTGGTCACCGTCTGCCGCCTGGGAGAAGCAGAGCGGCGCACAGATGTTAGCCGCGCCGCAGCAGCTGTTCGGAGGAGAGTCAGACTGCTCCGCTTTAGCTGCTGCGCCGGGCGGAAACTGGATCCAACTAAACGCACAACGCTCTCTCTTTAACGATCCAACAGAAATAACACGGGCATCATTTTGCCAACAAACAAACATTTTTGAGGGTGTGTTATTCTCGAGGGACAACAGGTCTCAAGCACCATATCTGTTGGCTTTTTTGTCTGATTCCCAAGAAAAAGTCTCAAATGTAAACTACTTTTTCCTCACATTTGAGGAGGTCAAACCAGTGTTTGAGTTCACTAAATACTAAAAGGAGGCGACCACTCTCCTCTAAACACTGACCTCTGCCAGATCTTTCTTTTCTTCTTGTCTATCAGACATATAATTTCTTCTTTCTATTTTATGTGTTTCATTTGTGCTTTTTCTTAATTCTGACAATTACACTTTATTTTATTCCTAAAAAAGCACAACTGTGCACAAATTTGAAATGTGACAGGAGTTTTTTGAGTAACTTCATTCATCTTAACAATTTTGTTTGCATTTTTGATCTTTTTCCCCCACTTAATCAAAAGAACATGTGAAAGGAACAAAGAGTGAAAAAAAAAATCCTGGAAACGGAGAGTGTGGTGGAGGAGGAGAGGAAAGAGGCCTGCCTGATCACGTAACCTGAATCCTGTTTTTAAGTGTCTCCACATGTCAGAATTTGGTCTGGACAGGAGTGGTGAGCACTGAGGTTTCTCCCCTGTGGAAACCTCGTGAGTCAGGCTCCAGCCAATCATCAGCTCCCCTTTAATCCTGTCTCCTCCTCTCTTACTATCAGTGAGTCAGAGTGTGGAAAACAGAGAGGAATTGAAGAGGGAAAGTCTGACATCTCTTTTTGACACAGCACATGTGTTTGTTTAAAAATAGTCTGGCGTGCCAACCGGGGCCTGCCTGTTGAGGAGGCCTCTGCGACGTCATCCACCGGATTCACCAGCGTGAGCAGATGTTTGTGAGCTGGGCTGTGATTCACAGTCTGTTTCTATTGTTTGCTTTTACACACAGACTCGCTTTTCAGACGACCTCATATCTGAGTCCTTATTGTTCTGAAATATGAAACGAGTCGTTAAGTTTGACTTTAAACTGGACCTGTATCTGGAGCTTACCTGTACTCCGCTCCCCAGCCTTTGACGAAGCTCATGCGAATGGTGCACATCCTGGTGAGCTGATAAACGGCCTCGAAGCCCTGGTTGACCGACTGCGCCAGCAAGGCGGCAAACTCCTGGTTGTTGAAGATCTTCAGGTTACATCCTGAAGAAAACAGAGCGGAGGTTTGTCGGACAAATGTATCCAAACGCTCAACTTTTTAAGTCTTTGCTTATCAGACAGAATTCAGTTTAAACCCGACCTGGTAAGGATAAAGTGTGGGAAAAGCAACTCAGGAGCTAATTCAGGAAGCCATCATATCTATTGATGTCTAAAAGAGGTTACACACTCATTGTCAACATCTTGCTCCGGACAATAAATAGTTCAAATGTGTTTAGGGAAAACTGGTTACTCTTCCCCTTTTAAAAAATCATGTGGTAAAAGCAAGCAGACCACTGTGGAAAGGAAAAACTTATTTTTAACCAAGAGGAGATCTCTGGGCTGGTGGCGTGCTAACGATGTGAGGTGGCCTCTCGTGATGATCCAGCCACAGCACATCTGCTCATGCACTTTAAAAAAAACTTGGATTAATCACTGTTTGTTTAACGGGGTCCTCCAGTGCTCTCGGCTGTGCCACAGATAAACAAAGTGGTGAGTTTTACCAGCAGAAGGATGTCTGTGTGAGATACTCACTCCTTTGATATCTTTCCGTAGGCTTTAACTTAGCTGTTTCAGAGATGACTTACTGACAATAGAAGCACACAAAGGCATTAAGTTGACTTCGTGTCTGGCGCTACATCCTTCTGACATTGATCAGAGGAATTTTCCATCCACCTCTCCTTCCTTGTCCCTTTCTTATCACTCCTGACACCCTGTGAAACACTATCTCTCCATTATGTGTCTGCCTTTCTCTGCATATCTCTGCAGACTGAGGGCTGAACACACCTGGAGGGATCTTGCAGACGGTGGCAGGATGCCAACCATAACGCTGATTACAGTTGGGGCTCTGGACAAAGATGGCGCTGTCACTGAGGCACTCCGCAAACACCTCTCCTCCGATGTAGTACAGCCGCACACCGCGGCCTGGGAGAGACACAGCAACACACAGCCACAAACGCTTCAGATAAAACTCATAAAACTCACAAATGACAGTAGTAGTAGCAGTAATTATGCCCCAGCTAACGGGAGCAATAGGCCCTACCGATGTGTCTGCGCGTTAGCTCCACAGCTGCGTTGCGGTTGACGTTGGACAACAGGCCGAGGCAGAAACGCTCTGAGTTGGAGGGGTCTGTGAAGCCATCCACCGTTAGCGAGGGCTGCGAGGCGTGGAAGGTCTCTCCTACTCTCTGGTTTAGCTCGTAGTATGAAATGGAGCACCAGAAAGCCGGCTCACAGTATGTCACTGGCTGCAGGTCTGAAACATAAAGCAGGGGGGGACACGTGAAAATAGAGCACAATACAAAAATGTGAGACTGTGAAAGTTGCATTGTGTAAGAAGACACTGTAGTCCAGACCGAGAGCAGAATAAGAGAGTGCAAATCACAGAAACTAGAAAGGCAGACAGTGAGGAGATAAAACGGAAATGAACAGCAATGATAACAAACAGGAGCGAAAATAGCCAAAGTAGGAGGAGAAAAGGGCACTGTGGTGGCTACAGAAAGAGAAGAAAAACACATTAGAGCCGGAGCTGCGTCACAAAACGTCAAACGCATACACTGTTTCCCAGAAGCCTTCAGCAGGCAAAATATGGAAACTCAACCCTCACTGATGGGACGCCAGAGCCAAAACAGTCCCATTACAGCCTGATTCATGATTGTTTTCAGTAAATTTAACAAGGTATTGTAACTTGCTGTTTTCTCTTTGACACAGAAAACTCTCTAACAACTTCCAGTTCTTTTCTTTGATGTCCAGAAAAGCAGCACTGCAAAACAAAACGCGAGTCATTCTGTTCTTTCACCAGGAGCGCTCTGGTCGAGCCCCCTGGCGTTTTCCCATCCTGACAGAATAAATGTAGGATATTGTTATTGATGTTAGTGTGGGCTGAATGGTGTCTTGGCCTGTTTAACAGCTCGCATGCTGAGCGGGGAAGACAAAGGCTTCTTTCATCACCTTGTTTCCTTTTACAAAAATGGAGTTTAAGCAAACAGAGAATTCCCACCAGGGAGACACAGAACCGAAACAGTTGTCTGTTTGAGGACCGACAGGCGGAGGAACACACAAACACACATTTGAACACGCTCACAAACACGCGGCTCATACCTAAGTTGCTGTGTGTGGGTGAAACAGGGTTAGGTGACAGGTTAGGGGAGCTCGTGTCCATGCTGTGGGTCATCTGGTGATCGCTGGTCTCTCCATCCTCACTGAGGTAGCCTGGCGGTGGAGTTTCTGAGACAAATGAAAACAACTGTGAGCTAAACACACACAGACAAAACTCAGCACTTTTGTTTGTGGAAAAAACGTTCTGCACACAGAGCTGGTGGGAACCTTTACATAGATAATGGCTGGGTTGAATGGTAAATTCAATTTTTCTTGTGTTTTTTTCCTTGTATCTTTAATCTTTTTAACACTGGTTAAAAAATACACACTTGCTAACATGTTTGTGCAACAAGAAAGAGGTTCATCAAGATAATTTAAGAAAGAGAGGATGCAGCTCACTTCTTCTGTGGTCACACATTTACCTCAACATCTCCTGTAAAGGCTATGAAACCAATCAACAACAAAACAGAGATGGAATAGATCAGATCCAAAAATCAGCCATAAAAGTTCATAGATAAATGTGTGGTCTTGTGATGGACTGGCGACATGTTCAAGATGCACCTCCAGCTAAAGACTGCAGACCCCATCATTTCTAGTTCTTTTGTCATAAACAATGTAACACCTAAATGAAAGACCAGCTTCAACTTAAACCTGCCCGTGAGGCTGTTTGAATCAGATCTGGACCTGTTTTGATGACCCACGTGGGTCGTACTCCTAACCCTCTACCTGGGATGTAGTTGCTCTGGGGCTCGATGCCAGCAGGGAAGTTGGTGTTTTCCGGGATTGAATGGCTGTAGTCATCCAGAGGGGGGAACTCACTGGGGATTTCTGTGTGTCTGGGCACCAGTACCGGTGGGAGGACTACGAAATGGACAAAAAGTCAGACTTTCACCAAAAACATAGAGCTCAGAATAAAACAACAGTGAGTGCTTTCAGATCCACACGAATATACAACCAAATGCGTCCAGACAAACTAAAACTTTCCCTCTTAGATTCAAGGAAATCTTTTTTTCCCCTCGGAGGTGTCATACCTGGCGTCTCTACTCTCTGGTAGTGGTACGGGTTTACACACACTTCATCTTTCTTGGTGTGGAAGGCGTACTCGCACAGCTCCACCGCTCGCAGCTCGTGGTGAGACTGCAGGTCGGGCCAGCGCCACAGCCGGCAGTAGATGACGTGCGGCAGGCCTTTCCTGTGGGACACCTGCAGGCGGCCGTCCAAAGACCTGCAGAGACACGAGGCAGAAGGAAGAGAAGTCCGTCAATAACTCGAAACGTGTCGCTTGAAATCCTCACAACATGTTTAGGGTGAACATGTTGGATTATTCTTTCATTTCTTGATAACTTCTATGACAAATTTTTGTAGTTGTAGTTCATTTAACTTTCTTACTTCTTCATTCTCGTGCTTTTTGTGTGACGTATTTTTCTAATTGGTCGTTAAAGACTAATGCTTTATTAAAAAGATTTAAGAAGCATTTCTGAGGGACAGATAAACTACATATCAATTTCCGGAGTTGAAAATGTCTGTGTATAAACAGTTACTAACATAATATTACAAAGTATTATAGTATACGGTAATTTTATGCGTCATTGTAAGAATTCTAGGTGTTACCAAACAATGAACCAGGATTATAGAAAAGTAATGCATTATTAACTTCACCAGTACCCTTTCCTAACACTCACTAAGATGGTTTGGCCTCCAAACATATTTTTTTCTAAAACAACTGACATTGACAGATTCGGTGTGGTGAAAAATGACCTCCTGCTGATGAAAATGTCAGCTGTGAACACACTGGAAATGATGTCCAATAATAAACAACCAAAAACGAGTTTACAGTATGTGTAACAGGAATGCCATTGTGTTGTATAACATCTGCCCTCATCTGGCACACAATGCCCTTGGCAGCATGATTTAGGTCAGTGCATAGTAATGAGTGGTCTCTGACGCTGGGGACTGACATAATGGGGTTGTAGCCTCTAATCTGGAAGCACAATGACCCACGACAGAAAAAAATAAAAACACTCAATTCATCATGTTATGCAAGAGTCAACAAACACATGTCGCTTCTATTTCTGTGTCTTACCCTGTCAGAGATGGAGACAAACATAGACTAAGGGGCATAGCTTTAAAATGTAATCCCCAAAAAAACCAAAGCAATCTACTGTCTAACTACTGAGAGCTTAGTTGTACCCCATGTGGGTCAACTGTGATGAATCCAGCAGGTAGCATTTTAATTTCTCATGGCTAAGCCTTTCACTCAGCAGTGTCTGTGCTTTCAAAGTGACTGGCTATATATATATTTTTTTTGGGGGGGGGGTATTAAAATGTAAAAAATGTCTCTGATCAGGTAACAAACATGTTAGTTTATGAAAGCATATGATTAAAGAAGTAAGACATCCCTGGGGGGAAAGGTGGTGGAGGCCAGAATCTAAAAACAAACAAAAGAACAGACATCTATTCAAGTTGCATGTGTGAACTGGTGTCCAATGTGTCTTTCTAGAAATGTGTAAAAAACAAAACAATTACGCTTAAATTCTATCAAAATTTGGTGAAATTCACTTGGCAAAGTGTGAGCATGAAAAAGATCAAATTATGATTTACACAGATTGGAAAATGAAGTTTTTCATTAATGGTGGTGCTGAAACATTTACCATAAATAATATAAGTTTCATTGTCTCAAAGCAGAATGCACAAAACATTTCAAGTTTTCCTGAAATTAAATCATAGTAAAAACAGAAAAGCTGAGGTTACTCTGCTTTCTTCCAGCTGTGTTTTAAAACCATGCCAGAACCACTGAGTTTCTGCTGTCTTAAGAGTGGGTGAGATAAGACCGGCCCAAACACGGCTGGTGTCTGATCATGAAACCACAGCGATAAATGGCAGACCTCAGACCTCAGAGCTCGGCTTTTAACACAATAACAGCGATAAATGAGGCTGCTCCTAAAAGTGCAGTCTGTCCACTAAAACACTTGATAAACACATTCATTGGGCTATTATGCAAACAAGTTATTAGCTCTCTGATAAACAGAATATTCTGGTAATGCTCATGTTGATGACATTTAAAAACTATTATAATCAGAATGAAATGTACTGTTCCTGTCACGCCTGGGGGAATGTCTCGTCTTGATTACCTATTGTGTACACCTGGGGTTTCCCTCCCTCATGTGTTTAAATAGTCCTCGTTTCCCCTTGTCTGGTGCGGGGTCGTTCTTGTCTTCTTGCCTTGTCTCTTGTCCTTTCGTCCGTCATCACCCCCACGCCAGGTTTGTTTCGTCGTAGTTCTGCCACAGCCACAGTCATAGTCTTGTTTATCTTTATTTTTGTTACTTTGTCAAGTCATAGTTTTTGCCACAGTATTGTTTGCTCATTGCTTTGTTACTTTGCCCACAGTTTGCCACAGCTTTGTTTTGTACTTTGTCTGGACATTCACCCTGTTTTTGTTCAATAAACCTTGTTCCCCTCATTCCGCGACTGAGTCCTCCCGTCAACACCCACCCCCCGTGACAGTTCCTAAGTGTATTTTGGTTTGTGCGCATTTTCTGTAGTTTTCACATTTTGTGATGATTATTCTTGGCTGTTTCCTTTAACCACATTTAATCATTTGTCATGATTTAAGACTGATTGCTACAATTCAGAGTTTTTCTAATTTATTTAAGAGTATCTTTTTGATACGACCAACAATTACAAGATTTAACCAAACAATATAATTAGAAGTTGGAACCATACTCTGATGATATCCATAAGATATACAAAAAAAGCACCATGAATGGGTGGTATTTATTGAGTCATAACTCAACTCCCTATTTCTGGACAGAAAAAAGGCTGATCTGATGTCACTGGTATGTGTGTTGGGTCCCCCCGGATGAATTAGTGCTGAGTGGGACTGTGTGGGCTGAGACGTGCACTTTGTTAGCTATATGAGCCTGTTTGGAGTCCTGCTAAAGCAGAGTTTCCACACCAGGGATCTCTAAGAGTGTCCTTTCCTGGGCCCCCTGGTTTCTGACCATAGAAACCATGGACTAAACAGTCCCACACGGGTGAGCAGGGAATTTTACCCCTATGAAAGGGGTAAAGTAATCCCTGTGAGATTACCCTGAACCATGGTGGGGCAAGCTCTGGTAAACATTTCTGATTAGTTCAGTATTTTTGCCTTTTTTGTCTTTAGACAACTGGAGAAATTAGGGCAATAAAGCATTGTTCTTTGGATTGTTTTGCAGTGGTCGAAGGCAGCGATCAGGACAGTTGTATCAATCTAAAAACTGCCTTCTCTTTTTTATAGTACCAACAAAGCATATCAGTTTACTGACTTACAAAGTGATTCAAACCAGCATTCAAAGCAAACAAATGCAAATCGGGACACTGGAAATTCAAGGCAGATCCAAATGCAAACCTCATCCCACTCGATGTAAATGACTCATCTTATTAAAGAGATTTATGACGGTAGGCTGAGTGAGAATGTGATGAGCAGCACCTAAATGGCAACATCAATCACTGCTATTGTTCAGAGGAGGAGCCAGTTGCAGAGTTAACAGCCAACCTTGGGACCTGCTAAAGTCTTTAGAGTGATTTGGAGCTCAGCGTGCTCCAGCTCTGCCGGTGGGGGGAGAGGGGGGACAGCTATGACTCCAAAGGCCCTGCTGAGCTCCTGTGTATGTTTGTGTGCGTGCGTCCAGACTCAGGATTGTAAGGACATGGGCCTAAAGCTGTCCAATAAGCAATTTTAACACACACAGACCCCCTCCCGCGTCTCAGTCTACTGCACCACGAACTAGTCAAAAGCAATTTATACACTCGTCAAAGATTGTTTAGTCCGTCACAGCCTGCCCATATGAATTAGAAATTAAAATTAAGATAACTAAGAATATTTTTAGTCAGACAATAATATCTTAACAGTCCATCACAGGGACACACAGAGACACAAAAGGACCAACAACCACACACACTCACACTATGGGCAGTTTGAGTCCAACCAACCTAACATGCAGGTTTTTGGAAGGTGGGAGGAAGCCGGAGAACCCAGAGAGAACCCACAGACACAGGTGAACATGCAGACTCCACCCAGAAAGGTCCTGGTTCCCCCGGGGACTCCAACCCAGAACCCTCTTGCCGTGAGGTGATGGTGACACCAAACCACAAAAACAACTGGGAAAAAAAACTATATTGACTTTTTCTTTTGCTTAGACTTTTTTGTGGTAGAAATGCTACAGTGAACTGTAAACAACTCTCTTGTAGAGTTCACTTAAATGCTAACTGCACCATGGAAATTATAGGAAAGGGTGCTTTTAAAAGAGCCTACCAAGCTGATGAAGTTTAAAGAGATGGCCACAAAAAGGGGAAAGGAAGAGCCACAACAAATAACATCACTCTGTATTACTCAGAGAAACTCTAAAGTTGGATGAAAGTTATTTTTAAATGTAACTGCAGGAATAATATGAGAGCTTGTATTTAAAGTAGTATCCCTGGATATGTATGAAACCAACATTAGTGGAGCAGGTAACAGGGGAATTCCCCCCTTGCTTCATAAAGAAATGGGGAGTTTTTGGAGTTCAGCCTAAGCAAGTCCCACATGATAACTGTGTTTCAGAGTATAGCCCAGCAGACCGTAGCATGGTAGGGGCGTGGTACCATGAAGCTGTTGACCAGTCCACACTATGTTCTTTTCTTAATCAACATTTTTGCATTGTTGTCATTAAAATGTTAAAAATGGTTTGAAAGTATACTGTGATGCCAATGTCATGTTTGGCTCTGTTTATAGAGCACATCACTTGAAGAAAGAAACAAAAACAGAAGAATTTTATATCTCAGGTTCTCATTAAGCTTTATTCAATTAAGAAATAATTAAAGATCAAAGAAAGCAAGAAAATCTACATTAAAAAAATAAAAGAAAATTTTCAAGGGTCAATCAAACATAAAACCACAATAAAAAATAAATGCCGTCAAGTTTCCAGAAAAAAACTTACCTAAAAGATAAAAAAAAATACAAAAACTGAACTAGTAAGTTACTTGTTTACTTTCTAACTATGTGTAGAGAGAGGGAGAAAAGCTGGGCAACACATGCCAGTGTTGGCTCATCTTAAGGGCGTCCTCAGTCCCTTTCTGACTGGGGGCTCGGGACAGTACGTTACAGTCAAAGACAGTGGAGCGAAACTGACGTTCAAAAAAGAAAAGGGACAAATTGGTATGGATTATTTGCCGGAGGGAGAATTGTGTCATCGTCATTGTGCTCCATGACCCGAAGCTAACGCTGAACCTGACCTTACAGCCAAATCGACACGTACACTTGTGCCCCTGGTGCACGAAGGTGAGCAAAGGGAGGTAAAATAACCACTCCCCAAAGCTCGGATAAACCTGGTGTTCATCTGAGCAAAGCGGTGGTTTCATGGCGGAAAAGGGAAAA